TTTTTTTTTTTTTTTTTTTTTTTTTTTTTTTGTGACTTAAAAGCATCCTGGAAGGAAAGCAAAACCAAAAATGAATTAGTTTAAAGAATCTTTTTGTAAAGTTTGTTTTCTTGGGATGATGATGTTAGGAGGAGAGAACAGGAAGCTGTCCTCAAACTTCAGTTTCTTTTTAGTTTCAAGTTGAGATTAGACAGAAAACAGTAAGACCAGTGGCCCATTCCATCCCCTCCTTTCCTGTCCCAAGCACTTGGTAAGGCTTCATGTGTAGATGTTATGTAGGGCTGAAACTAAGACCTCATACTATGTGTGTCTAGGGAAATGGAGAGAGCTTCTAATGGCCAGTAACCCTCAACAACTTAAGGTGGCTGACACCTTGATTTTGGCTTTGGAGCAGAGAAACTTTGCTCCAAGAAATCTAGAACTTGGAGATGATAAATGGACATTGTCATAAGCCTCTAAGTTTGTGATAAGTTGTTATGACAGCAATAGAAACCTAATGCAAGTGTTTATGGTTATTTGTGTGTGTTTTCCTTGGTTTTATCCTCTTTGGAAAAATCCAGGAATAGTCAAAACTTTTTATTAAACATGAATGGCAAGAAACATTCCATCCACCTGTTTCCATGTTATAGGAAGCATCCATAACTTTATATACTTAGAGGGAAAGGGTCTGCTCTGTGTTCAACACACAGCTTAACATTTGGATTGATTGCACTCTATTTGGATAAATCAGCGTTTCCCTAGGATCCATTATTATAACACCAAAACCATATCTCCTTAGTAGTCACTGTGAGCTCTGAAAGCAGTTAACAGATCCTGGCCTCTGTTCCAAATGCCTTTATTTTAAAAGTGAGTGATTCTACACCTTTAAAAATTGAGAAATGATAAGGATCAGAATAATGAGAATTGTGTTACAAGTGACTACACTTACATATATTGGTTACTTTACCTTTTAAAAACATTGAAAAACAGTAATTGCTGTATGAGTGGAAAATCGTGAAGATGATACATACAGGGGATAGAGTTCAGTACTGTAATAAAATCATAATAATATGACTATGACATACATTTAGTGTGAATAATTGTTCTAGGAATAAGAGGTGAGGGGGTTGTATAAGATATTACAATTACACTGTATACTTACTGCTATTATTATACAACAGATCAGGTACTTCTCCCCTCAGTGAAGGGGCAGGGAAAGGGGAACCCGGCAGGAAGATTGTCTTGGATCCTTCTGTGACCTGTGATTCCTGACCCAGAGGTGTCAGGAGAGTGTGAATGTTTTCACCATGGTAAACACAAAAGTGCTGGGAATAAAGTAGCTCAAGGTGAACCACCTCCTATTCCCTGTTGTGAGAATTGCCTCTACATTGAGGAATGTGTGAAAATGGAAACTGGTCAGTTTGGCCCTTGGGACCTCCAACCCTTGACCCGCAGGGCACCGGAAGCCCTTCTGCTGTGCACTTCTATGGGAGACCCCGATGCTCCCCCCTGTGCTTTATTGCTTCTTCCTTGCTGTTCCCCCACATGGAGGGGCAGGGATAGAGGATTGTTCCTTTTTTTCTTTTTTTTAAGTGATTTTATTTCACAAAAGTAAGATTTAAGGAAGGCCTCTCACCAGGGCCAAAAATTCTCCTATTACTATCTAAATTTCTGTTCCTCAAAGATTAACTTGAATTCATAAACAAGTACCTTAGACTGGCTAAAGACATTTAATAAGAATTTGACCCTCAGACCTTAATAATAATCATCACTAGTATGTGCTGCATATTTAGTATGAACCAGGGACTATTCTAAAGACTTTAGGAATTCATGTATTTAATCCTCACAGCAAGCCTATGAAGAATGCTTGGAGAAGTCAAGTAACTTGTTCCAGGTTCCATGGTGATGATGAAGGAAGAGCCAGGACCAAATCCAGCTGGGTCTGCTCTGGGACTCGGACCCTCAGCCACTGTGCTGAGTTGCCTTTCCTGGATACTTGATAAGGATTTGATTTAATTTGTTTGCTTTCTTCCTAATATCTAGCAGTACTACCTGTAAGGGATGGGACCGCAAGTGAAGAGGGTGAGGGCATTTGAAGGAGAAATGGCTGTAGGGCGGTTGTGATGGGACTTTGGAAAGAGACTTGGGGAGCATTCTCTGCAGCCATTGTTTTCCTGCTCATCAGCATCTTGAAATTACTGACCTTATAATCAACATGAGAACTTAACCAAGAACCTACAACTACTGTTTCTCTTCTCTGCTCCTCTCTGAACATCAACATCATTTTTCTTTTAGTGTTCTAGTCACAGAAAGCTCTTAAGTATATTTATGTATATATGTAATAAGCTAAATATTTATTAAGCATTTAAATTTCATTTCAAATAACACTTGACAAATATTCTTAAAGTGAAGGCCAATGAAAAACAACTAATGTCTATAATCACCCTTTTTTTCCCCCTCACAGTATTGGCTGGATCCTGCAAAAACCCTTGCTGAACACAAAGAACTAATCAACAGTAGGTATTTGATGTTAATTTTTTTAAGGGGTGCCTTGAAAATGATACAATGTCTGTGATTAGTTGGATGCAGAGATATGCTTTAGTGCTACAGGAATGAGTACTAGTACTCGAGTACCAGAATATGGAAATGGGTGTTGTGTGCATTGCCAGACTCTGACTCCAAACCCCGATTAAATTTTTGGGTATAAAGAAACTGAGTGGATCTAAATATTGAATTTGGCTTGGGTATGCCTGTGCTTGACTTGTCAGTGATTTTTAAAATTTTCTTGTCTTTAAAATTTCACGTTAAAACGTAGAGAGGCATTGATTTGGAAGAAAAGGTGGATATCTGACCTTCTAAAGAGCTTGAGTTTCTTGGGTTAAGGAGTCGTTTTGTCATTCACACTCTTATTTGCTGAGGCAGTAATTAAGGACTGCCCTTATGTCCTGAAAGATTTCTATGAGTGCAGAAAGGATCCATCTGTTTATAGGGGCTACCTTTTAGTTTTAGCAATATGAATCTTATTAGGTAACTGAGAGTATAATTAAGGTTATACTCCATAACACAGATTTTTATTTATAAAAGTATATGCCCGTGTGCACATTCATGCGATCCTTAAGTATGTGAAAGGGTAGTTATATTTTAATTATCCTTTTAAAAATATGATAAAATATATAACATAAAATGTACCATGTTAACCACTTTTGAGTGGCATTAAATACATTCATTGTGCAACCATTACTACTTTCTCCAAAAATTTTCCATCATCCCAAACTGAAACTTTGTACTCATTAAACTATTTTGCTTTAATGTGAAAATTATTTCTAATAAGATGTAGTAGATTCATTGGGCCTGTATGACTCCCCATTCTGAATCTGTACTTCATGTGTTTATATAATGGCTTATTCATGGTGATAAAATTGGTCGCTTCACGGACCTCAAGGGCAGGAACAAAGCTGTGCCTCAGAAAGGAATTAGAAACTAGGAATTGCAAAACTATCAGGAACTCAGCAAGTACTATTTCTCTGAACATTAGCATCATTTTTGTTTCTCTCTGTTTATCCATGTCTATGGGGGAAGCCTCCACAGTTTCCAGGTTATAGCTGTAGCCACAGGCAGACTTGACTGGCTGTCTCTGAATGCAGGTCCCAGTTCTATGGGAGGGTACATCTGACTAGCCCAGTTTGAGTCAGGAACTCACCTCAGTCTATTCGGCCATGTCTGGGCTTCTTCAAGGTCAATACAAACATAGCTGCTAGGGGGCATTCTGGATGAGATTGTGCAGTGGTTTCAGAAACGTGGGCTTGGGGCCAGCCTGTGGGGGTGAGAAAGAACCCTCAAAATATATACCTTAGGTATCACCAAGTTCTGCCTACTCAGCCTACGCAGGAGTAAGTCGTAATTCATAAGGGGTTCATGACTTGCCATGGGTGAGAAGCTAGTTGGTAGCAGGTCTTCTGATTTCCAGTGCTTCTGTATTTCTAGTCCTCTTCCTGAATGAGCTGCCTACTAAAGGCCAAGAGGGGAGGGATGAGGATGCAAGGACTGAGCTATGAATGCAGGCAACTTCCATGAGGTATCTGCATATAAATGGTGGGAGTGCCAATTTAAAAAGTGCCATCCTTCAGGATGTAGAAATCTGTACTTCCCTCCAAAATTCAGGTATAGTAATAAATATAGTAAATCTATCTTTTTCAACCAAATACTTAAAATAAATACCAGTTTAAAAATTAGAAAAATGTCAGGAATGATTATTTTAAAACAAACTCACAGGGTTTTTATTAATAAGTTGAGATTTCTATCCAAGTGGTGAAGAAAAGTGTAAATTATTTAGGGTACACTATTGGTGTTCCTAAGTACGTTTGAAGTATTTATTTCTTCACATGGTATGAAATATTCTTTTTAAATATCTATAATCTGTATAATTGCTTTTTAATCCTAAATAAATATCTTCCTATCAAAAATTTGATGCATAGTAAGAATAAAACACCGATAGTAAAGGAAGATGATGTAACTAAAGAATACATGATCTTTATATTTCATCTCATGAAATAATTTGATAATTAATGAAGGAAAATGGCTGTCATGCCTCAAGTAGATCAGTCAGAAAGAATGTCTGTAATAATGATGGAGTATTTGCTAATTACCAGGATTCTCATGGGTAAGTTTTGATTTTTCTTGATATTTCTTGATATTTCTCCTTCTCATTGAAGACTTACTATTATTAAAGGCCTTGAAATTAGTCACAAAAGGTATAGTAGAGGATTTCCATTTTCTTTTTTTTTTTTTTAATTTTTTTTTTTTCAACGTTTATTTATTTTTGGGACAGAGAGAGACAGAGCATGAACGGGGGAGGGGCAGAGAGAGAGGGAGACACAGAATCGGAAACAGGCTCCAGGCTCTGAGCCATCAGCCCAGAGCCCGACACGGGGCTCGAACTCACGGACCGCGAGATCGTGACCTGGCTGAAGTCGGACGCTTAACCGACTGCGCCACCCAGGCGCCCCAAGGATTTCCATTTTCTCACTTCTGTATTTTTTGCTAAACTAAACAATATTAACTTACTTTACATGAATATTTCTTAAAGGTAGATTCTGTTGAAAGAGGTTCAACATAATAATAACTTAGGAGTTTTCTTCATCAGTGCCTAATATTTATAGTCAGTCTTAGAACAGGAAGCCAAAAAAGAGTGTCCTTTTCCATAGCCTTAGATTGATCTATAAAACAGTGATGTGTGTGAAAGTATTTGCTTACTCTGAAGGCATTATAATTCTTTTCCCTGAGAGGCTATAAGGAATAGTGGCCATAAAGCACTGAACTCTAGGTATTAGCAAACTTGCTTCTCAACCTTGTGATCTTGGCCATGTTGTTTACCACTTTGGATATTTACCTGTCTTCCCTATGTTACCAGGTGGTTTTGCAAAATCACATGCTTACGAAATGTTTTTATACATTATCAAATGCAGTCAAATAGTAGTGATGCCTTATATTTACAACACAAACCATTTTATATGCAAGTGGGAAATAGCTGATTTGAGCCAAAAGTCCTTAAAGAAAATTTGCCAAAACTGAATGTTTTTAATTGTGTATTTTTTGAACTTCTGCTTAACTGCTCATCATTAAGCACGTTTGAAGCGGCGAGGCTTGGTCAGTAGGGTGTAATCTGTCACGCTGCAGAGAATAAAAGCAACTCTGGAATCTGGACAGGGCCTTCTTCCCTTTGTGCACTGTCTCCACAGCATCTGTGCTCCTCCTGGCCCCTAGATCCCAGCCCCCCGTGGCCTGCAGGCACAGGCGGACCCATCTGCTCAGCAACACAGAGCTGACTGACAGAGATGGATCAGCAGACGGTGGACTTCCTGGTTCTTCTAAATATTTAATAATCTGTGCCTCCCTGACATCGATGTTCAGGGGTAAAGGTGTATTTGTCAGAAATATAAACATAGTGATTAAGTGATCATAGAAATTAAACATATGGAATCAACTCTAATGCTAAAAAATTATAACAAAAAATTTTTAAATCCAGTTTTTAAAAAAGCTCTAGCTTAAGGAACACCTTGTCCAGAAAGGCATAGATGAGGGGAGAGGAGCAAGGCCCTACTGTTGTATGCCAGGAACAGGGCTTCCACAGACACAGCACATGTGTGTCATGATAACAATAAATAATAACAAAATTTGTATATTAAAAATGCATTATGACTTTATGACCTGTTCAGCTTAACTTCCTTTCCCCAGCCTCTAAATTTGTCCCTTTTTTTTACTCAGTAAAAATGAAAATAGACTGGGGTTACTTTGTGTCAGTTACACACTGTCAGAGACTTGGGGTCACAATATGTAAGTAGAAATATTTTTACTGACATGTATACTTGACATCCTTTTTTTGTGTGGGAGAGCTTTTGTTGAAGAAAAAAATTAGAAATTATGACCACTGATTAATATACCGGGTAAGAAATACATTTTAAAACAGATTTAATATAAGATCTAGTTACTACACTGCACAGAAGTTTTGGAAACAGTACAGGTTAGATTCAGACCCTCTGAAATAGAAATATGTCTAGTGAGAGCATAATATGATGTTTTTGGCACCCAGGGGGCTTGTGTACTCTTGCACAATATGAATGCTGAATTATATTTTATGTTTCCCCATGTAAGTACATGGGGAAGTAAGTACAATTCCAGCTTTATTCTTTAATATATATATATGATATTTGTGCACATTGTTTTTTTTTTTTGGTATTTGTGCACATTGTTCTTCTGTGTGTAGTAAATGACTGAGATGAGAAATGTCTTCTTAAATATATAAGAACACATTCTCAGGGGCGCCTGGGTGGGTTGGGTGTCTGACTCTTGATTTCAGCTCAGGTCTTGATCCCAGGGTCATGAGATTGAGCCCTGCATCAGGCTCCATGCTAAGTGCGGAGCCTGCTTGAGATTCTGTCTCTCCCCCTCACTCTGCCCCTCCCCTGCTTGCTCTCTCTCTCTCTCAAAAAAAATTTTTTGTAATAAATAAAATTTAAAAACCCACATTCTTAGATTCAGAAAAGTTTAGGAATGAGACAAATATTGCTTATAATCCTACCACATAGCCTCACTGATGATCTTTTTTTTTTTAAAGGGTAGAGATACATATGGAAAGAAAATTATTAGTTTTTCTAAGAGTGGAATTTAAGTGTTCTCACACACAAATAAAAAAAAGTAAATATGTAAATATGTGAAGGACAAATGTGTTATAGGCGAATCCTTTCATAATGTTTACATATAGCAAATCATCACATTGCACATTTTAAATGTGTTGCAATTTAATTTGTCAGTTATACCTCATGAAAGCTGTGGAAAAAAAGTTTCCAGTTCTGCTTCTCAAAGTTTGCCAGTGTCTTTTCTTGTGTATTCTTCTAGGGTGGAATACATATTTTCATAGATAATTTCTTCTTCACAAAAGGGATATTTCTGCCATCAGAAATAGATTAGAAATCTTTCCCAGTCAGCACATGGAGTTCTCTCTCTGCCCATTTAAACAGTTGCAGGGTGCCATATATACTTCCTGTGGTTGACATAAACGGTCCACCTGATGCTAAGCATTTAAGTTTGGATACTATATCCGTTTATTTGTATCAGCTTTTTACAGATGCATATTTTTGTACTTTTTGCAATAGTAATAGGTGGGTGGTTTAAAAACCATTTGTTTTATCATTAACTTTTCTTCATTATGAAGAAAAATACATGTATGTTGTAGAAAATGTGAAAATGGGAGAATTATGAATAAATAAAAACTGTGCATAACCTCACTAACCATAGATAAGAACTGGTAACATTCTGATATATTTGATCTTCTCTTTTTTTCCTATGTTCATGAACACATAGATGTGTACCTACTTAAATACCAATAGTTGTCCTACTGTTACATAATTCTCAATCCTGTTTTTTATTTTATATTTTCTTGGGTGTTTAAAAGTTCTTAGTATAATTTTTTTAAGTTTATTTATTTCTAGAGAGAGTGAGCAAGTGTGTGTATGGGGCAGGGGCAGAGAAAGGGAGAGAGAGAATCCCAAGCAGTCTCTGCACTGTCAGCGCAGAGCCTGGTGTGGGGCTTGATTCCAGGAACCACAAGATAATGGCTTGAGCTGAAATCAAGTCAGGCGTTGAGCTGACTGAGCCCCCGGGGGGGCCCCATGAGTGTAATTTTTAAACCAACTTTATTGAGGTACCTTTAACATATAAAAATTATATAAATTTAAGGTGCACAGTTGAATGTTTCAATATATGAGCCGGGCACGGTGGCACCTGCCTGTAGTCCCAGCTACTCAGGAGGCTGAGGCAGGAGGATCGCTTGAGCCCAGGAGTTCTGGGCTGTAGTGCGCTATGCCCATCGGGTGTCCGCACTAAGTTCAGCATCAATATGGTGACCTCTCGGGAGTGCGGGACCACCAGGTTGCCTAAGGAGGGGTGAACCAACCCAGGTTGGAAACGGAGCAGGTCAAAACTCCCGTGCTGATCAATATATGTATATATCATAAAAAGATCATCACAATCAAGTTAAATAACTTATCTATCACCTCTGCATAATTGCGTGCATGCGTGTGTGTGTGTGTGTGTGTGTGTGTGTGTGTGTGTGTGTGTGTTTGCATGTTATCATTAACTGTAGACACCATGCTGTTCATTAGATCCCCAGGACTCACTCATCTAGCATAACTGAAACTTTGTACCCTTTGGCCAACATCTCCTCATTTCTCCCTCCCAGATTCCCTGGCAACCACCATTTTACTCTCTGCATCTATGTATGTGACTATTTTAGATTCCATATATAAGTGAGATCAGGCAGTATTATTTTTTCTCTGTGTCTGGCTTATTTCACCTTGCATAGTGTTCTCCAGGTTCATCCATGTTGTCTCAAATGAGAAGATTTCTTTCTTTTTTATGGCTGAATAATATCCCTGTGTGTGTGTGTGTGATGTGATGCGATATATATAGATAGTATCCATTAGTTCACTGATGGACACTTACGTTGCTTCTATGTCTTAGCTATTATGATTAATGCTGCAATGAACATGGGAGAGCACATACATCCCCGAGATCCTCATTTCATTTCCTTTGGATAAATACACAGTAGTGGGATTGCTGGATCATGTTGTAATTCTCTTTTTAATTTTCTGAGGATTTACCTACTGTTTTCCATAATGGCTGAACCAATTTACATTCCTAGCAACAGTATACAAGGGTTCCCTTTTGTCCATATCCTTACCAACACTTTTGTCCTATTGCTAATCGCCATTCTTACAGGCGTCTGGTGATATCTCATGGTTTTGATTTGCATTTCCCTGATGATTAGTGATGTTGAGTATCTTTTCATGTGTCTGTTGGGCATTTGTATGTCTTCTTTAGAAAAATGTCTATTCTGGTCCTTTGCCCATTTTTAAATTGGTTTGTTTTTTGCTATTGACTTGTAAGGGTTCCTCATGTATTTTGGGTATTAGCCCCTTATTGAATATGCAGTTTGCAAATATTTTTGGTGAGTGTAATTTTTAATAGTTGTATGATATTACACTTCTACTTTGACTAATTTTTAATATGAAATTTAACTTTTCTTATTTTAGCTGGACCTCCATATACTTTGTATTTTGGTATTAAATTCTATGCTGAAGATCCATGTAAGCTTAAAGAAGAAATAACCAGGTATAGTATTGACTTTGCTTTTGAACAATTCATGTATGGCATATACAGAGGGCTTTATTTAATACAAACTGGGGTCAAACATTTGGATGTGTGTCTACCTTGTTTTGTAATGCATCTCCACTGAGAGTTAAATTTAAACTAGCATTGCATGAGGAAGATCAGTGTCTGATGATAGATGTGTGTGAACAATGGCATGAACCCGGGTGACATGATGATAGATTTTGCATCTGCTGTGATGGGATATTTCTGTATCATTATTGTGAAGACTGCATTTGGTCTTTGTAGTCAGTAGCCGTTTGAACTGTGTAAAAGAAGGATATTTTGATACTCAGTTTGCATATGTAAATACAAATTTGAAGAGCCAGTTATTTCTCTTTATTTGGTTATAGCTTAAATGTGAGTTGTCCAGGGCTTTTGTTTATCTCCACAGGAAATGAAAAGATAATTGCTTTCAGTATAAAGGAGAAAAACAACAACAACAACAACAGGGTTTCACAGTGTATTCTTTCACCTTTGTCATCAAATATTTTATTTCAGTTATGGCAGAATTTCCAGTTGGTATTGATTATATTATTAAAAATAGTCCATGCCAACATTTGAAAGTGGCTTATAAAGAGCAGGCAGTAGTGTTAGGTTTTCACTGAACTCTACTAGACTGTATGTGGTAGCAAACAAAAGCATTTTCCCTGACTTAACTCTAAGTGGTCAGCTTTCTTAGTGAACCCGTATCACTGGCTCAAGGAAAGCTGAATGCGTTATTCAAAACCTTGGAAATTGTGTCTTTGATAACGAAGGTGGTCTGTGGTTTTGTTCCTATTCCATCCTTTCATGGTTTTCCTTAGATTCTTTTGTCTTGATTCTGGACTGCACTCAGAAGAGTGAGAAAAGAGGAGGCGAAGTGGACCTTTCCTGTGCTTCTCTGGAGTGCTGTAATTAGGCCTCATTTTTAGAACTGTGCCAAGCTTCATTCACATCTTCCATCTCCACTTTATAAAGGACCACTTTTAAAGGAGGGCTGTCCTGTGAGGCCTTCCAGGAACACACCTCTATGGGGGAAGGGCCGTTGTGTTGGGAAGGAATTAAGGAGAGGGGTCATATTTACATTAGAGCTTCGTGAATAATCTTTGCAGTTGAGGGATTTCTGAGTTATGGGCTCATGGGGAAACTGAGTCCAAGTGGTAAACACACACAAAGGCACACACACCCATGTTTGTAACTTATTAGGAAATTGCAAGGAAATAACATTTTATGAAAATACCAGGAAAGTCCTTCATTTTGAGGTTGTCAGTCACCTCTCTGTGCCTCACTTTCCTCAACTGTAAATTTGGAGATATACCTGTCTCATAAGGTTTTGTAAGCATGAAATGGTGTACTAAAAATAATGTAAAGCTTGTGTTAGTTGGCTGCATTTGGTCAGTAAGTGCTTGATAAATGGTAGCACTTACTATATCATTCTCTCCTCGCTCTAGCAGGTCAGTGGAGTTACATCTTGAGTGAGGGTTGGGTTCCAAAAGATACTCGATTTATTATTCATAAGGAGAGAAATGGGTGTTTTAGAATGCATTATTTTAAACCTGTTCACCTAATATTATGAACAGAAATTTCCCTTCAGAATCTACTACCAGCTCGTGAGCAGAATGTATAGATTTGTGGGTAACGTACAACCTCACGACATATTCCCTGCAATCTTCTTTGCCTCACATATTAGACCAGATCATGTAGCTAAGAACCAGATTACAGAGTTGGCTTCCAGCTAGTAACCATGACCTAAAATAATTTATTTTTATTGCCCAGAGCATATAGTTGAGCTTAGGTAAGTTTAATATGACTCAATATGATATCACTACATACTGATTTTTAGGATGTCCCGAAGATTAAGTCATTAATTTGCATGAATAGGTTCCTTTAAATGGATAGGCATCATGGACCTTACAAAGGGAGTCAATTGCATGAGATGATTTTGGCAAAAGTGAAACTAAAACCCAAACCCCAAATCTCCCAATATATGCTATGAAAGGAAAAGTGTACTTAGGTCAGCATTTGCAAGTTGAACATTTATCTTGCTTCAATTCTCTGGAAAACTCTTCTAGCCTACTGTGTATTGGCTCTTGGGTTGTTCGTAAGTTTTGACATGAAAATTAATGCTATCTAAAGTCTCTTCTCTTCATCGGCTCTTTAGATAATTTGTGTCCTCATGGTATCTGTTAAGCTTATTTTTAATTCTGATTCAAAATATTACAACAGCCTTCCACATATTTTGGATCATTTATAG